CCCCAAAACCCCAAAACCCCAAAACCCCAAAACCCCTCTAGTAAATTAACTATTGAAAATAAATTATTTATAAGACATGATGGACAGAAGCCAAAATGAATCCAGGAATACCCTTTTCAGCATTTATGATGGCTTTAATCTAGGTGGAAAGTCGCCTGTCTGAGGAGCGAATGATTATAAGAAAGGAACTTCGAAGTAAGTAAGATAACCATAGTTTTAGAAACTTAATTAGAATTAAAGAGTCCAAAAATATTATACCCGGAAGAGATGGGCTGTTTAAAATAGCTATTGATCAAGTTAACCAACTTACAGATGATATCTTATCTTCTAGGTAAGCTCAATAAAGACTTTGCTTAGAGTGACTATTTTTTGTAAATAAAGAGCTAATATTGTATTTTTATCACTTTTATAGATAGATCTTTATAATTTCTTATCATTGATATAATTCTATACTCAAGCTACAATCTTTTATGTAATATTTTGGCTTCTAGACTTGTTTTCATATTTGAACGGAAAAGAGTGAGTATTCTTGCTAAATTTCCAATCTGTATTGGGCATATTTTTATCAAATTTCGTAAAAATTATGTATTGTGGGAAAGATAAGTTTATTAATTAGAATTCCTGGAAGAAGGAGCGAACAAAAGAGAAATGATACCTTAGACTTTCCTATCGATAATTTTTCAGAGAAATCAGCTGTTAAAAGCTCTAGAAGGTAAGAAGTCAAGAATTGTTCTTTTCTAAAATTATTTTTAATAGGATCTCGAATAACAGAAACAATCTTTTCCAAAACTCAGTTATTCAAGAATCGATGATTAAGAAAAATAAAAGACTCAAAAAGAGTGTTGTGTTAAGGAAATCTGCCTGAAATTATTACAAGAAGACTGAAATTAATAAGTCAATCCCCCTGGGAATTCGACCAAGTAAGATTTCCATTAATTGTGTAGTAAAGTCTATCAATTTACCAAACATTAGCAATTTCTGACACAAGCCAAACTCGATGTTTAATAACTCAAAATTTTTTAGAGGGACTCCTAAAATAGTAGCTGATTCCCACAGGAAGAGGATCAAACATTTTGGAAAATATATTAAAATTTCTAGTAACAACAACAGCGTGAGACAAGAAAGCATCCCTCTTACAGATCATTTCAGAAGTATAAGTGTATCTAATAGCAAAGGATCTGTAATTACTCTAAAAATTCCAGATAATGCTACAAAATCTTGTGAGAGAAATAGCATTGAAGGTAGCCCAAGAAAAGGCATTTTCCCTACTCCAAATAGAATCACAAAGCAAAACTATTTCTTGAAAGAAAATCTGTTTAAAGAGGATCCTAACATTCAAAGGATGAGTTTTGGAAAACCAATTTTTCAGATTGTCTAAAGTAGGGATAAGAAATAATTCCAGCTGAATAATTTTTCAATGTGATCCCTGAGAAGAGGGGTTTTGGGGTTTTGGGGTTTTGGGG